AAAAAAAAAAAAAAAAAAAAAAATGAAAAAATGTGCCAAGCCCAGGAATGCAACTCTAATATTGCAATTTTAGTATGATCAGTCTTTGAGTGAGTGTCTGTCTGAGAAAAAGTGCACTTTGAGTAAAGCATTCCTGTTTTAGACCATAACAATTATAATACATGAAAAGATTATTTAAAAGATGGCAAAATGAAGCCAAAATCTTACTTACCAAATGTTCTGGGAAATACTGGGTAGATTTAGACTGTTAAAAATGTCCCAGTATAAACAAATGAAAGCAACCAGAAGAACCAAGACCTGCATGTCATTTTTGAGGTCACCAGAGGCAGCCCTGTGCAGCCTATGTGACCTCATGTTGGGAAAGCTTCTGCATGCCCAGGAAATTGGCCCAGATTGACTCATATACGTGCTGTGTACAGTCTATCATTTTATTTGGATGCAGGTGGTTTTATACTCCATTAGCACAATCTCCAGCTTAAACTTTTTTTTCTTATTTCTCATCTTGGTTTCTCTAAATCATTCTTCATGTTTCTGTTCAGTGCTATTCCTCTGTATGCTTTAGCATAACAGAGCAACATTGGGCTTTTTGGTCTTTTTTTTCCCCCCTTGCCTTCCAAACATGGAGCTATACACCATTCTGCAGGTTTCCACAGTTTCATGCAATGGTACCTCCCTTGCAAGGTGACCTTGGGACAGATTTTCAGAGACTTGCCTCCCTTCTCCTTGCTCTAACCTGTTTTAATGATTATATAATAGTTCTTTAAGAAACTAGAATATTTCTTCATAGCATGGTAGATTTAATGAAAAAACCTTGATGCAGCCTGGCAGATGTATGAGTCTGAGCAATGATGTGGAGTGTGTGGTGATGCCTAGAGATAGATGAAGGTGAGGGTGAATGAGGTCTCATGGCAGAGTAGTGAGTGAGAAATCTCCAGACCTGCCACTATTATTCATATTGCTACTAGTTTGTTCATGTGTGTCTGGGAAGGAGAAACCTAATTTTCCACTCCAAAAGGAATCTTAGAAATTATTCTGTGTAAGTACAGTGTTGAAGATAATGGGAATAGCCCAAGAAAACCAAAAGAAAGGACTATTACAGGCTAGTAATTTGCATATACCTGAGGAGGTCTTAGGACTAATTACTATCAGTATTTGAAAATGAAGCTTATGTTTCCTAGAATCTATAGAATAAACTATTATTCCTAGACTACCTGTCTTTATAAGGTATTGAACAACAAACAAACATTTGGAATGGAAAAAAAGTGTTTCAGGATATAAATAAAATTATGAATAATTGTGGATATTTTTTTCTGCATTTCTGTGTCCCGTTTTCAAAGCTTTATTCCATTTTCATTGAAGTGACTGATACTGGCCATTGCTCGAAAAAAGTTGCAGAAATGGATTGATCACTAGTGTGAGCTGACATTACAAAGGAAAAGAATGAATTCACACTTTCATTCCCTGAATTACCAATGTCATAATTTCAAGTAAACAAAACAAATGGATTTAAAAGACTGATTTACAAAATCTGCAAAGGAGAAAAGAGGTCAAGCAAAATACACACACTGGCACACATGCCTAATAATGTTTATCTGGGCACGGAATTGTTCATGGGAATGTTCACTTGTTTTTCTAACTTTTATATCTGTTTACCTATTTGTTATACTGTATGTTATACTGTGTGTGTTAATGACTAACATATACATTTGGGAATAAAAATGTTTATGTATGTTTCTTTATATTAGTCTTATGTAAGAGTAACATTTTTAGTCTAGAAATAGTTCTAGTTACCATATGAATACATATAATACTGTACAGGCTGTTTTTGTCATCTTGTAAAATACTTTACAGGAGAAATAACTAAAAAATATTCTTAAATGCTTCCAAGTTAAAATGACACAGGAATTAGACATGGCAAAACAATCAATTTTTATAACAGTAATACTTAATGTACCGTCAGTACACTTTTAGTTGCCTCATTTTATGAAGCATTAGAACTTGAGTGGCTCAGGTGTGCATTCGTGTGTCACCACTCCAACCAGGTATCTAAGGTACCAATAATATTGATGGAAGATTGATGGAGGTGTATGATTCATGGGCCCACATGTGAATGTCCAAATCTGAGTTAAGGGTGTCTCACTTAGCTGCCAGCTGCCACTCCCCATGGTTCCCATTTAAGGAAGCCTCTGGAACATCCTGTAAGTCCTACATCATATATGCTAGTCCCCTGAGGATGTCTTGGATACTCCAAGAAATGTTAGGTGACACCAGTTTTTTTTGGGCAACTGAGTTGCTTTTTTGGGTGTCTGTCTTTATATGAGCTGAAAAATGCACTGGGCTTCACTGACTGTTGATACAGGGCTGCGGTCACTTGCCCAAGGACCTGAGGCCATTCAGAACAGTAGTGGAAACCAGGTGGGGTTTTTTGAGCATCACAACAGGCACTCATTGTTGGTATTTTAGCAATTGAATCCAATGACTACATCCTAGACATAAAAAGCACATATGAAAATATCTTTATGTGGCAATCCAGATAAAGATACCTTAACCAACACTAGATCTTAACCTTGCTGTTATCCCTAGAGAAAATGCAGCTATAATATACATATATAGTATTTAACATACAGGTTTTTCTCAACTATAAAAAATAATTCTGAATTCAGTGGGACCCTGACAGGCTGAAGAATTCGCTTGCTAGTAATCTCAGAAAGTTCAAGAAAGGGAAATGCCAAATCTTCCTCCTGGGGTCAAATAACCCCATGCACCTGTACAGGTTGGTGCCTGCTGGGTGAAAAGCAGCTTTGCAGAGAAGGACCTTGTGGTCCTAATGGACACAAAGCTGAAAAAGTGGCCAAACTGCTCCCTTCAGCCTTCTGGGATGAATCAGGAAAAATGTCAGGAGGTCAAAGGAGGTGATCCTTCGTCTCTGTTCTGAACTAGTGGGACACATCTACAGTGCTATGTTCAGGTCTGGGCTCTCAAGGACAATGACAAGAAAGATATGGACATAGTAGATGGATTCCTGCAAAGGGCCATGAAGATTTTTAAGGTATGGGTGCAAATCTTACACAAGAAGTGGCTGAGGCAGCTGGGTCTGTTTGGCTGGAGAAGATGCAGAGTGGGATCTTTTGAAAATGTATAATTACCTAATAAAGGGAGCAAAGAAGATGGAGCCAAACTCTTGTCCATGGTGCTGTGACGGGGCCCAGTGGGCACAATGGGAAAGAGGCACAAACCAAAACACAATTGTTAAAAAATATCTCACAACCTAAGATGGCTGATACCATCTGCTGGGAGTGTTGAAGCACACTAGAATAGTTAGCCCAGAGAGTCAGTGAAGTCTACCTCCTTGGAGACATTCTAATGTCAACCGAACTTGGTCTTAGGAAACTTGCAAGAAGTGAGTCTACTATGGGCACAGGGCTGGTCTAGATGATCTCCAGAGACTGTTTCAAACTTGGTAATACTCTCTTTTTTTACAAATTGCTTTTAAGAGAGAGATTATCATAGACAACTTATTTTCAACATAAAATATTAAAAAAGAAAACATGACTTTTTATGACTATACAGATGTTTAAAAAAACCACAGGTAAAATATCACACAAAACTCTTTGTTAATATTCAGGGTTAAGATCACTGCCTGATCTTATACAAGATACTACAAATATTGCTGTATTCACCAGATCCCTTATTCCAGGCTTGTGAGTGGGGATAAACAGATGACAATGAGATACATATATCAAGCCATAAATAAGCAGTTACCAAAGACTGAGAAACAGTATTACCAAACTAATCAGCATAAATGTCATATAATCAGCCGTTGCTGTACATCCTGCTCCAGTTGTGTCTAAAGTGCTGCCATCATTGGTTTGATGGATTTGCTTTACGTCACTGAGGTTCGTCTTGTCTGGCATCCCTGCTGAGACAAATAAGAAAATACATTATGATGCATTCCTTGTCACTACTGGCAACATATTATAGCTAGAAAAAAATTAAATATCCTCAGCACACAGACCGTCACAGTTTGGTTTCTAGTTCTCATGTTACTGCCAAATTCAAATGCTTTATAATTGCATCTAGAAATATGCACTGTACTATATGGCTATTAATCGTTGAAAGCCCTTCTGAGGTCTGCCAGCTCTGAACAAAGTTGTTCTTGTAGAAATATATCTCAACAAACATTTGCAGACTGAAGTGAACAGTTTTGCAAGTCCCAGTAGTACCTAAAATTCCACTGCTCACATCTTTCTTGGATTTGAAGAAAAAAAGAAATAATTTAATGTGAAATTTCTTGTGTCTGGGTCCCAATATTATTGCAAAATAATGTATAACTCATGGAAGATATGCAGAAAAAAATAGTTGTTGCTATATAAAACCACCATTTTGGCACAATTTAAACAGACTTTACAACATTATAAGGAAAAATTCTAAAGCTAACTTTAAACAGGAATCCTTTTACTGAGTTCCCAGCTGGATATTTGTATTTTTTTTTTAACCAGGATAAATATTTCTCTACCTCAAAACAGTACTCTTATGGAACAAGGATGTAATCACGCATTACATTTCCTCTGCCTGGTTAAACATTGGAAACAGAAGGTCTTGGAGACACACTGAATTTTGGTAGCATTGTCAGCTGCTTGTATCTGCTATACATGCTCGTAGACTGTCTTATCCCATATAATAACTTGTGGCATGCCACTATCAATCAAAATTAACAAGTCTAAATTCAGTGTTATTGCGTACAACAAATATTGACATTGTAATTATACCGAGACTGAAAAAAGCTTCATATAAAGCACAGTCAATATTTATGTAATTAGGTCAATACATATATAATTCAGAAGGTAAACTCTACTGCTGGAACAGCAGCATTAGAAAGAAGCTCAGCTCTACTGAGCTGATATACTGATTTTACAGTCTGAGTTTCTGTATCAGTATTCATTGTTTAGGTGCTTCTTTCCTTTCTGTATCATTAGGAAAGATGAATAAACTTGTGAATCTTTTTTTTATTGTTATTATTTAAAGTGACTATAGCAAAGTATAAATATTTTAGTCATGGTGTTATCTTCTTTGTTAAGCTGGTTTAACAGAAGCTGCAGAGGACAGTCATTGTTAAAAGAACAACTTTTTTTTTTTGTGCTTGCATTAAAAGTACTCTTTTCTCTAAAAGCAGCTTGAAAGCTGCTTTTTGTGAACTTCTGCTCTAGGTACTCAAATATCCTTCCTGCAGCCTTGAAAAAAAAAACAACATTAAGGGAAGAGTCAGCTAAAGTCAAACATGCTGTCTGAAAGAACCTGCTGGATGCTTTCTGAAAAAACCTGCTAAAATGAATTAATCTTATTTGCTGCTGTACTAAGCAGTGTACCCTGCTATTTCATGTGGATTTATCAATCCCATTCTCTTGCTGGAATTTGTGAAAATTAGCTGCATGAACACAATGCAAGTGAACATACAAGAAAGAAGAGTGACACAACAGATGGTGAGAGGGAGAGAATACAACTTTTCCTCATCATGTACTTTCAGTAACCTGTGTAAAAAAACATCAGTCAACCAATGACTTCACTGAAAGTGTTTTGAGTGGATCATCACTATGAAGGTATATTGAGGGTTTTTTTTCAGGGAAGCTTTTTAATTTGAGCAAAACCAAAAAAAAAAAAAATTGCTTTAATAATTTCTTCAGCATTTTAGTGAGGTCTTCTCATATTTAAAAAAGACTAATTTCAGTAGACAGTGAAAAGTTCAACTCTTGCCTACACAGCAAAGCAGTTCAGCAACTGCTATAGGTATAACAAATTAGATTTTTCCAGTGTATTTACAGATATAGTATCAGAGCAGTGAAATATTGGATATTATGTAAGTTAGTACATAAATGATAAAGCTGATTTATATAAAAATGAAAAATATTTTTTGATCTTAAAATTGAAGAAATAACCAATGTTCACGGAATGTGTTTTGAATCTGAAGACGATGTGACTAGATAATATTCAATGACTGGACAGTCAGGTGTAATTTCTAGTGAAAGTTTAATTTACAGTTTTATAGAAAATAGAGATTTCTTTTGATGGGAATTTTTTTCTTTCTAGCCTCAAGTGAAAACTGCAGACTTTGGAAGTTCCCATGAAAGCAGTGATAAAAAAAAAAAAAAAAAGTTCAAACCTACCTATATACTTTCCTTTGATCAATCAAAATGTCAGAAATCATTACGTATAATCTCTGATCTTAAAGGAATACAATGGTGGACTTGTGTAATCATACAGCAAACCTGTCACCTATTCAGCCTCATAAGTCTATGCCACACTGACTTATTGAGGTAAGAAATCCAAAAAATATGTAGAGATATCATCTGGTGAAAAAAATCACTGAAAAGGAAAACACTGCTTTAAAATAGCCTCTTTGAACAGAACTGTGCTATGTTGCTAGGGTCTTTTTAGATAGTTCTAATAAATGTAACTATAGATTTAATTCCTGCACCTAAGCTATCTTTTTATTTAAATTAGTAGGTTCTGTTGTCCATTATGAATCAGAATTTAAACATAAATGCCATCTTTCATATATCATAATCTGTAACAGAAGCGATTCTTTCCTGTAAAGGAATTTAACTTTCATAGTTCACAGCATATTTACAATGAGAGATATACAATAATTTTTAGCAGAACACACCAGAAATAAAGCAAACTGGTTTGGTTTTAGCCTTCTCGTATGTCTGAAGATGGACTTAGTTACAGAAAAAGCACTTAAGTTTTCCAAGCATTTCAAATTATCTCTGATAAATGTCTAGTTTAGTAATAAAGTCATATTAGAACTAACGTTTTGACTGGAAAAATGGTAAAATTCAGAAGTCTGGTCTGACACTCAGAGGGATTTTTTTTCCAATGAAATTTATTTATTTATTTATTTATTTCAGCAGAGCAGAAGATAAATAGCTTGGGAATTAAAATCCAAATACCATGTTTGCATAAGTCTACATAAAGCAAAGCTGACAAGTATCACAGACATGTCCCCAGCATCAGCTCCCAAACTGCGTAAACAGCAGCAATTTAAAGTATTGTCCTGCTCTGGTTTAGAAAAAAATAATCATAAAATAATTGCCACAAATGTTGTGAATAGTATTACAGCATCTCATTATATTATAATAGCTGCAGAGTATTTCTAAAGCTTTTTAGAATGTTCTAAACATATTTAAATGTGTGAGAGGTAATGGAACTGGCAGCTTTGACAGCTGATCTATTGTGTTCTCCAGAATACCTACAGCTGCAATACAATTTCCTTCCAGTATTCAACAAGAATCTTTAGCCCTGATTTGAAAAGTCAAACCTATAGTCATGGGAGGTTCTCATTTGACAAGGAAGTTTTCTATGGAGGTTGTCAAAACATTACAAAAATGGGCTATGACTTTGGGGCAGATGCTTGCCTACCAAGGGCCATGCTGGGACTTTAAGAATTTTAAAGGTTTTAAATCCTCTGACAATGGCCTTTGAAACCAAACCAGAAAATGTTTGTGTGAGAGAAGTCTAACCTTAACCACCTTCCTGTATGATCTTCTGTCGGCTGAACAACACAGAACTAACATAGATTTTCAAGGAAAACTGAAGGTGCCAAATGAGCTTCAGTCAACATCACCTAGGACACAAATCCACACAAGATTTAGAGAAGAGGAAGAACTGGATTTCTCTTTGTGCAATATTCTTATGATGTTCTGGAAGTTTCAGAATATAGCCTTTATGGAATCAGATTTTCCTACGAGCCTTAAATATGAAGAAAAAAATTATTTTTAAAGGATGGGACAATGTTCTAGATGGAAAAAAATTGGAATATTTCTTTTAAAAGACAGCACTGTGAAGTTACAGGCAAAATTCTTCTTAGAAGAAAAATAATTATTTAAATTATATATAATAGAAATTTCAGGATATTTTAAAGTGCAAACTGTGGAGTAAAACACTGATAACTATATGAAGTTTTGTTCCTAAATTTATGAGAAGGGTCATGAAGAAACATTAATTTATTTTAACAAAAAAAAAAGGAGAAAAATAAGTATTTACTTTGCATTACATTGAATTTTCATTTCATAAATTAAAATGACATATTAGTTCCCAAAATATTTTATTTGATTGGACAATATTTTGTAATCTGGAATTTTTTTAAACTTCTAATGGCTGTCTCCTTCTTTTATTTCACTGGAGTTTTTCACCAGGTTTTACTCCTAACTACTCAACATCATTAAAATGTTTCAAAACATACACATGATAAGTGAATCACAAAGCTTTGCTTAAATACCTCAGAAATAGTTCAGTTTATGGATAGTGGTTCCTATGAAAACTTCCATTTGCTACTTTAAAAAATATTTATAGATATTCCTCTACAGAACAGTAGCTATAGGAGAGGAAAAAAAAAACACCGAGTATATGGAGATCATTCTCCAGCTAGTGTATTTAAGCCATTACTCTTAAATATGTCACAAAATACTTATGAGTATCCAGTGCTTAGACAGAGAAGTAGAAACCTCTATTATTATAATAATAATAATAATAATAATAATAATTATTATTATTATTATTATTATTATTATCATCATCATCATCATCATCATCATCATTATTATTATATCAAAAACTTCCATGTGAAGTTCATGCAATGTTGGCCATGAAGTCTTAATGAGGGGAGGAAATGATGTGTGAAAACTCATTCATGAAGGATACCTGGAAAAGGACTAATTTCTGGAGGTTGCTTTCATATTTTTATGACTCCACCTATATTTGGAAAACCTAGGAGATGTCCCTACAGGAAAACACATGCTATATACCCTTTCTATAGTACACATAGAGCAGTGTATGTATTCACTCTCTTCAGGAATAAGTTTTTATGATTTAATGCAAATTTTTCCCTTTCAGTTACACAGTTCAGGTGAAATGGAAAAG